CATCGCTTTCCTCCCCAGAAGCAGGCGTCTTTTAATTTCGTGGCTGTGATTTTCACTTACAAAGCCCTAAATGGCTTGGGTGCAAGCTATCTCAAGGACCGAATTTCCCTTTATAAGCCTGCTCGAGTGTCAAGATCATCAGGAGAGGCCTTCCTCTCCTTCCTACCACCCTAACAGGGGCATTTGGTAGGGGACTCAGGGGAGGGCCTTCTCTGTGGCTGCCTTCAGACTCTGGAACTCCCTCCCACTGGAAGCCAACCTGGCCCCATCTTTGCTGTCCTTCCACAATCAGGCAAGGCGGGTTCTTAAGACTATTTTATTTCTGTTTTTTTTAAAGGTATTTTTAGCACTGCTTTGATCTAACAGTTTTTAATCTTCAATTTGCTTAATTCTTTTCTAATATAATTTGTAATAATTTGCCGTGCCAGGGTTTTTTAATATTGTAAAGCTGCCTCGGGACCTTTTTAAGGAGAAAAGTGGGGCAAACATACCTTAATTAATCATTTTTTTAAAAAATCACCCTTCCGTAATCACGCACACACTTAATCCTAATAGTGTATTAATATTTCAGAAAAGTTTAGTAAACGAAGCAAAGTGAGAGAAAAAGAAGTCTATTCCAGAGTGCAAGGGGTTAAAAAGGTTACCTAAACAGAGTCAAGTAAGTATTTCTCTTTACCCTACAGGTCCTTGAAAGGGACATATTGCAGCAGCAAAGGGGGGCACATATTGCATAGGGACTTCTGAGACGTGAGCCTTTCCTAGCGTCCCAGCCGTTGAAGCATTGAGTTAAGGCGTTGGACTTTGTTCTGCGGTCACTTGCCTTTCTCTGTGGCCCCAGCAGCTCCTGTCTACTGTGTAACTTTCAGTTTCCCCTTTTTGCTGAGCATCTTTTTAACCCTACAAATGCCAAACAAGATAAAAAGATCTACTGTAGACTCGTTCAGCCCAGGGGGTGAAGTACAACTTGTTGCTCCACCCCATAATAACAAGAATTATGTAGTATTCTCAAAGGCTTTCATGGGCGGGATCTGATGATTGTTGTGGGTTTTTCGGGCTCTTTGGGCCTGTTTTTAAAGGTGTTTTTC